TCCACGCATTCGCGTGATTCTGAGGCACCCTGAAAGAGAATTCATCCTGCGGTTCTGTCGACCAGCCAGTTGATTCCCTGTTCCGCGAATGGTCTGTACATCTCTATCATAGTGTTGATCGATACCCCGGGATGGGACGAGTTTCACTTTCTGTTAATTAACGAGAGAAGTCTGATAACCTCGAGAATCAAAGGATATTTAGAAGAAATTTGGAGGAATTGTATAGCTTAAGTACGGGGAAAGTTGCAGTCAGTTAGAGTCAGGATCAGAATTTGAATTTTCGACTTTTTACGTGGTTTAGCAAAATCAAGGAATTTCATCTGTATAATTTACTAACAACTCTTTGTTTCCTCTTACGTTTGATTTGATTCCTGATAATGAATTTTATAACAAATTTCATTAAGTATATATAGTATTTGTATAGGTGTAACGTGCACATACTATTATACACATAATTTCATCTTTCATACTTTTTGTATTTTCTTTTTTTTTTTATTATTATGATTAATTGAATTTTTAAAAATTTCACGCAGCACGTACAATATATCTACAGATAAAACAAGAATAAAAACTTTCTATAGTACATTGAACACTTTTGTGAATCATTGTACATCTTTGTACAGAGTTCTAATTTTTTTTAAATTCTTTTTATTCAATGATCCAATTAATGAAATTTCACACACACACAGCAACGTGATAATATTGGAAATATAACATAATAAATATAAATATAAAAAAGTAAGCATGTTATTCGAACTTTCGTGAGCCGTTGCGTTTCTGTAAAGTTTCTCAATTTTTTTTTCAATTTTCCACTTGCCGAATTTCCCTCGTAAAAATTAGTAACTTTGATTAGTAATTCATATCAGTTCACTTTGGGGGAGAATGTATAATTTTATTGTAACATTATGAATTATAATATCTTATATTATAAAAATAACAGCGCAGACCTTCATTGAAGTTTTTATCTTTCGTACGAAAATGATTTCTCCCTTGCCTTATGAAGAATAAAGGAAACATTAATGTTCATTTCTGAAAGAATTAGAATTAACAAGTAATACATTCTTTTAATGGAAAATTACGAAGCTGTAAATTTTCAGCTAACATTCCCTTTTAATTGGAAATACGGATGGGAAAACTAGATTCAGCTTTTATCGTCGAAATTTTCCATTCTTCATTTACTTTTTTTCGTAGAAAGAAATACAGGGAAACTTAAATTAAATCTTTACGTTTCCCTCGAAAATATTCATTTTGCTAATGAAACGGTACAATGTTTTCTTCGGATGATCAGTAAAGAAAAAGTAAAAAGTAAAAGTAGATTCTCAAAATTTTCTTTCTCTCCCAGTAGAATTATACCTGCAAAATTGTCCCTTTTTTTACTCGTGATTTGCTCTTTTTTAATAAAGGCAACTTAAATACTATTTTTTAATTTATCTATGCTATTTTTTAAATTTAATTTTCTTCTAATGAACAAATAGTAACAAATAATGTCTTATCTTGATAAAAAATTAAAAAGAATTCTATTTTCAATTTTTTGATTTCCCTCCCGGAAAATATTCCTTTCTTCTAATAAAACTAATAAAAATTAAAGAAATCCTAAATTTCCAATTATTCCTTTCTCTCCCATTGTCAGAAGAACTAGGCCTAGCAGTTTCCCTTTTTTTTAAATTGTAAGTTTGAGGGAAGAAAATAAAGAAATCACAGATTTAACGAAAATTAAGACTCGACACAGCGATTCTACTAACTCTGCCCAGAAAGAATTTCTTTCACTCGGTGTAATTCGGTGAAAGAAAATACCAATCTGCTTTAAATACGTGATTCAGGTGGACACGAAACTCGTTCCGGGAGTCGAAGTATCAAAACTCAGCTGACAACCATCTCGTAGTCCATCCATGATAAACCTTGGCAAACATCGTTGTCCACGAGCGTCCGAATTGTCGCACAAACACGATGAAACTCTGGCTAGAAATACGATTTCCTCTAGGTAAACTGAACAGGTTCAATAAACGACCTTCTTTTTTCCTTTTTTTTTTATTGTATGTGTGAATTTCGTTTCCGCTAGCTTTGAAAATCATGCAGAGTGAAGAACATGATAGAACCAACCACAGTATTTGTATAAATTCTTTTTTATTATTTTTAATGTCAAGATATACAAAGACTGAAGTTAATAATAATTTCGAATAATTAAATGGTCTTTTGATACTGCGTATGCAGTGTTTAGTTGTCTGATATAATAAAAATTATTCATAATGCATCGATTCGCATTATTCTCCAATATCGTGATGAATGAATAATCAATCCCTAATTTGATTTCGTTGGTTCATGAAAAAATTTAGGTTTCACGTTGCTTGATTTTCAAATATTTTATGCAATTTAATTTCATTAGTAATCTTTATTAGGGAGTGTACAAAATAAAATTAAATATATTCATCATGCGAAGTAGAATTGAATTAAATTTTCGAGCGTGCAGGATAAAATTAAATTAAATTTTTGAGCGTGCAAAATAAAATGAAATAAAATTCTTCTAATATAACAGAAATTATCGTCGAAATTATTACTTGAGGGTTAATAAAAGTCGCTTTATATATATTATATCAGAGTAAGATGAACATATGCTAATATAATATTGTTTTATTGTTCTAAAGAATTCGATATAAAGATGACATTAAAAAAAA